AAAAGACTACACATTGGGTCAGCATTTCGATTATGTGTGATCAGAACTCCATGTGCTAAAAGCATGAGAGTCACATGGAACGTCATGTCCGCCGTGAGATCCCTTGTAAGTGGATTTTCGCGCGCCAAAAGTAGGTGTGCGGAGAAACAGAGGCGAACGATGGTCGAGGTTCGGAAAAGGGGCGATACGTCAATTAATGTAAGACGTCACGCTGTGACGTGACGTAAGCCAAGAAAATAAATAAGATTTTCATCGGCGCGCGATGAATCATTGGAACGGACAGACGGGTGGACAGACGGAGTGCGAATCGATAATTTAATAACGTCGAGCGCGTCACGTGCTTATTCTTCGCTAACGTGCAGATTATCCTTCAGATGAAAAAAAAAAATCCAACGAAAGGAGAATGAGATTCGTAAAGGGATGAAGAGATGATATTCGCGGGGTAAGAATTTGTGCTTACCGTACTTTCCTCTTCTGCCCCCTTTGCCTGGCATCGTTCCTCAGCTTGCTTATTGCACAATTGGTACTAAGTGAAAGACTCGATCAAGAGGGTAAATGTCTTGAACTAGTGTTTTTCTTTCGTATACTGAATACGCCACGTGAATTTTTCGTTGAAAGTAGACGAAAACTCATTAACATGTTGCGGAACGTTCACAGAACATACACGTCGAGACAGCCTACGGGCTTTCTCAAGTGCACTGGCTGTCTTCGCTGGCTGCCAGAATGTGCCCGATTCGTCGCGAACTTAGCCGAAAATGTCCGAAGTGCGATTTGCGCGCACCAATCAGCCGTCGCTATTTTATTACGTCATAAAGCTAGTTTGCGCAAACGCACATTATAGGCGCGAAATTTAATATTCAGTTTGATAACAAACAATATAAAATATATGGACAGTGAATTATAACAAAAGATGAATGGAGTAATAATAATGTTAGTGTTGCCAGTATTATAATGATTCAACTGAACACAAGTAATTGAGATTTTAAAGAAAAATAGAAGCACTTTTTATAAGAAATTAGAAATATTTATGAAAGATCAGAGAAAAAGAATTCTTAGAATGTTTAGAGAGAAAAATCATAAATTAGTACATCTATTTAAAATGAAAGGCTCATAAAATAAGAACTGTTTGTAAATAAGGTACTAAGTTTATTAAATCAGCTATAAATGATGTCATTACAAACGGGCTTTGGTACTTAAACTATGCATTAAGATACATTCGCCGTAACTTATGTTCAATTCGCTTCTATATTAATAAAATGAACATCCATATGTTTATATATTAACAGTATAAATGTCATGTGAATTTGTTAATTCTAAACTGACAATACTGCTTTATTCTTTGTCCATGTAAAGTAGCAAAAGCATTTATAAACATCATATTTTATTAGTGTTTTTCAAATATGTACTTACACGTTCTTTTTCTTGAAGAAGCAAATTGTTAACATTCTTTATAATTACCATAAAAAATATCTAAATATCAAATGATGCTATTTAAGATCTATTTTTAGTGCATATACAAAACATACAAAAAAAAAAGAACCATATAATATTGCTATTAAATATATGTCTTGTTAAATATGATATTAACTCTTTGACTGCAGGACACTCACAAAGCAATGTTTATTCTATATTGACTTGTATCTTTTACGCACTTTTAGCTTTTTTTCTTGTTTATTACAGCTCGGTTTTTGTATTAAAAAACCATTGAACCACTCAGTTGTCCCTATCATTACAAATAATATAATTTGTTTCTCCTTTGTTCTTTTGTTCCTCAATATTTTAACTTTACACGTGTAAAGGCACCGAGATTATACAATGATCGTTTTTATGGAGCGCCTATAAACGCCAATAGCAGTCAAAGGATTAACAATTGCACTTTGTTAAATACACACATTGAAAAATTGTTTGTAGAAATTAATACTTTTTAATAAAAATAATTTTTGTTTATAAGAATTATTGCTTCATTTGTTACACGCTTTACTCGCAATATGGTAACAAGATGTACAAGAATGTAGTAAATAGATGTATAAATACGATAGTATAAATAAAATTTAGTAATGCAATGTATTCTTATACAAAAATGTGAATACATATTCAAAATATAGTAATTTATTTATGTTCTTTATATATAATATTAATATCAATAGCATGTAAAAAAAAATTTATTCGTACTCCTCCGATAAAGAATGCAATATTGAAATGTTAAATATTTGGTCTTTTTTTGGTTTTATTAATTAAACAAAGTTAATAAAAATAAACGTTGATGTTTTGAATATCTGTGAGAGATCGTCGACTCTCGGAAACTCAAGTAAGGCATCGGATAGTAGCAAGACATTATAAAATCGAAAGAAGGATCCAATTAGTCCATCAAAACGTGTTTTTTGAAAGATGTTCTTCACATTTTGATTTTTATTTTGATTCTATCATAAAATTTATATTTGTAATTTTGATATTTATTTTGTTCTTATCAATTTGTTTATATTTTTGTTTATATTTTGACACTGGTTTGTCTTTATTGATATGTTTAATGAACGTTGAAATTAGATTCTAATTTTGTAATTTTTTTCCTGCACATGGGTATAATCGTCACGTTACTAAAAAAAAAAGTAGCTGGCATGTACAAAAAAGTTTAAAATTTATGCTGCTACCATGTTTGCAGTTCAGCACATTGCTTCATCAATTAAATTAAATTAAATTTCGGAAAATCGGATTTTTCCGATCATTGTTCCTCCTTATTAGTCCATAAAATCGAGTCTACTATATATATGTATATGAGACGATATTGTTTATTTAATCAAAATAAACATAAAATCAAAACATAAGCAAGAAATTACCATTTACTATAATTTGAATATGTATTTTAATCTTAAATTACTCGAAATAATTCTCTTACATTACTTTCAGACAAAAGAAAGTACGCTCACGCAAGAAAAAACCTTGAATTGCATTTTGTTTAGTTAAAACAAAAAGTGCTTTCATAAAAAGATAAAAATAAAAATTAGAGGTATAGCACTCTTTGTTCTTAGGTCTAAATTCTTATTATATAAATTTTTGTTTTACTTATTCTCTCACATTGTATTAGGCGTAGAAATCAAATCTTTCCGACTAACTTTACCAATATGTACGTAATACGTATTTAAGACATTTGACGATAACAGAAAATACCTCTATTGTCTTAAAACTGCCAAATTTCTATATCTGCATTCGCAAATTGTCGGAAAGATAACTTAAGATCATCAATAGAAATAATAATAAAATATTTTAATGACTGTTTTAGTTTTTTTTTCTTTTAATAAAGTTTTGATTTTGTTCAAAGAATTAATTTCTATGCCTAATTTATTCTCATCTCCGTCATATTATCTCACATTTAAAGTATGAGATTTTAAAGCTTTAACATGTTTAACATTTTATAGTATTGTGGCGATAACGCTGCTATAGATCGCTACAGTGGACAAAATCCCTATAGTCGAAAGAGCGCCCAACATGTTCAAAGCACCAGACTTTTGTGTGCCGGTAGCAGCAGCGCTTTCCGCATTGAGTATATTCTCACACGGCGTTACTTTTTTGATGAAATTGAATATAGAATCCATTATATTCGCGGGCGTTGGATCAGTACACTTTTCCAGTTCCGTCACAACGCAAGCTTGAATATTGGTCATATCCCTGTGTAACACATTTAGGAAATATAAGTTCCTTTATCTCACATAAAAACTTATAAAGAATAAATTTTGAAGTTTAAAACAAGCAATACCTTCTGATTTTTTTAGGATACAAATGTACAAATTGCCGAAACCATTCAAAGGAAGCATACATTGCCTTCGCGCAACTTACTTGCATTCTTTGGGACCAAACATCAGCGATGGTAGACTCTCGAGTCCTGCCAAACCGTTACTAGAAGAATCAGTTTTTGGTAGATAACTGCCGTACGTATTGTTGGCACAGTCTTGAAGCGCTTGCTGTTTTGATTGGAAGCATTCCGGTCCTCCAGCCGATATGAAGACTGCAAAAGGTAAATCAAATTCAGACTACTATAACGCTAACACGACAGCGACACAAAATTTCAGAAGATGTTTGTAAGAGACATCTTTAGGAATCGTTCGAATAAAGTTTTAACGTACGTGCGATGCGATCCCCCTCTTTGTAGCAAATAAACTCCAATAACGAATCGGTGATATTCAATACGATTTTCTTGTTCTCCTTCTCCTTCTCGTCTAGACAATGTTCTATCTTGTCCGTGAAATCGCTAACGCAGGCCCTCAAAGTGGAGCGCTTGTTGCAGTAATTCTTAAAGACGATGTCTAGATCACCGGTTGGTTTATACTTCTCCATCTCCGCCTGCAGCTCCGTGATGTTGACGAGCGACTGAATGCACTGCGACGCGTTTACTTGAGCTTGCTGGACAATGTCAAATGCTTTTGGTCCACCGTTCTTCGTACACTTTTCCTTTAAGAGATTTTTGGCCTCCTCGATGTTGGGCAGTGATGCGTTGTTCAATTCCGGGATGTTGCCCACCACACTATTGACCTTCTGCAGCACGTCATCCGACGATAGATTTTCCTGCGAATGTGTACATCCAATAAGACCTGAAAAATAAGAAAATAACATTGTAGAGCATTGCATATTGCATGGAAAAAACTCCTCTTTCCTAAGCTATAATGTATATAAGCTATGAATCACTTTTCACATTCAATGTTAAATGAAGTAGTAATTAACATCTCAAGAATTGTGGAATCTTTTTTTCTACATTGTTCTGCAAAAAAAATTATAATGATCAAATTTTTAATTTTATTTTTAAAGGCTTAATAACTTTTTTAATCTTTCTAAAAGTGAGTTTTGACAATAGTTTGCGCCCAAAATCTTTAACAATTTTTAATTATCTAATAATTATCAAATAATTTGATTATTTATATGAATATCCAACATGGCAACAATGATTTGTATTTTACATTGATCGCTAGTCGACTGATGTAATAAATTATGATGATGCTGCAGATATGTAAATCAACTAACTGAATATGTAATACAGAAGATGCAATTGATTAATGTTTTTATGATTATTATCGCTCTGGTCTCCGATTAGCGTGTATTTAACGTGTAATTTTTGTGCAATTTCCATCATGACATGCAAATGTAGCTTATACCGAAGATACGATACAACCTAAAAAAATGTGTGCTGGTAAAAAATTCCGAAAAAAATTTTATTATTACTTTTTCGATGATAAAGTTCAATAGCAATTTTTTACAAGCTTTTTCAACAGCAATTTTTTATAAGTAAATGTTAAAAGCAAAATATTCATATAGTAATTTATTATTAATTTAATTCTTTAAATTATATTAGCCGCGCTCAAGTTTTTAGTTAATTATTTAAATTTATTAAATTAAGGCAGTTAATAATACTGTTGAAAATAAATCATTGTTATACATTTAATACGATTAATTCTGTTCTTTAATCAATTTTTTTTCAAATATTCCATCCAAATTCTTTAATAAGATATAAATGATTAGATTATTTCAATAAGATTGTTCGTATTTCTCACAAAGCTTTCTCTGATTGTAAGTCGAAAGATCCCCACTTGACATAAGCTTCCTCTACACGAGGCCAAAACACATAATCTGTGGACTTTGTAACTGCTTTAGTCAGACTCCAATCAACAATCGATCGTATTTCTTTTTCCTTTGTTGCGGTTCTTGCAGGAAATACATTGATTAAACGTGGTGGAATGTCGCCAAACATGCTCTGCCGGCCTCGAAGACTTCTTTTATGTTTTTGACGGATATTTTGATCCGATTGTCACATCGAATGTGTTGAAAATATCTCAAAGGCGTTATGTTTCTTTGTTCCTGCGATGAGTAATAACGGTTTTACTAATCATAGTTGAGGAAGTTTCAAAATGAACAGATATGTCAAAACGTGAGTCACCACTAATTGTAAGAAGAAAAATAGACATTTTTATTTCATTTACATCTACTGCTAATTAAGAATCTTTGAGAACCTGAATTAAGAAATCTTTTAAATTAATAAAATAAAATTTTCCTTCCATATCATTGCAAATTGTCTACATCAAAAATCTTTCTTTTTCTATTTTAAATAATCTTTCTTATTTTTAATGTTTCTTACTTTTAATAAACAAAAAAAATACAAAGTAATTTTATCTATTAAGCTCTAAACATCATTAAACATTAATTAATTTTTCAAAAACGATATGATGTGTTATTGTACATCGAAAAATGTTTGTTGCTATTTTTTTCAAATAATTTTTTCATTTATCTCGTTTTCCCATTCATAGTATTGTCAATCTTAACAAAAGATTTGCTGGCAAATCAATACGGTGTTTGTCCGATTCTTCTTCGCACATAATGAAGAGCACTGCAAAAAAATGCATTCGCTGACTTTGTTATTATCAATTCATTTTGCCACACTTATTAATCAATCAAAGTATTTTTAATAACTGTTTTAACTAATGTGAATAAAGAATATTGTTACTCATGAAATAAAGATCTGAACTGTACAATTTGAAGTCTTATCTTTAGTTATATCAGGTCCTTATTTCTTTGGATATTTGTTTCCAGTGGAAGTTGTGATTTTTGTGGAATTTTAGGTATTATTTTAGCCAACAGGAAGTTACAGAGATTAAAAACTTTCACATGTTATAATAAGTCTACAATCGCAATAAAAGTAATTCAATAAACTGCAAGGTGTCAATGAATAAAATATTCCTAAGTAATTTTTGAAAAAATAAAGAAACATCTTTCTCCATTTTTTAAATTAATAATCTAGGAATAAAATATTTTAAATTATACAAATTATCTAGCATTGAAAATTTACAATTTTTAACCGAAAAATTATTATAGCGTAATCATCGTTCAAAGATGATAGAAGCTAATAAGATTGACGGTCGACACAATGATACGGAGTTCGAACCACATTACATTTAAATGCATAATAGCAAGGGGCAAAGTGCGAACTACACATCGAATGCTAAAAAAACTTCAGCAATGATTATCCGTGCTATCGTAAGTCGGTGATGACGATTCGATGAAAACGAACAAATAAAAACTCAATGACGTTATTGTACTTCTTTCATATAATGATAATATTCCCGTCATTAAAAATATAAACTCAAAAAAAGATAAGTATTCTGCGTATAAGTATTTGAGAGATAAATAAAAAAATAAAATAAAAGAAAATAAAAATATTTGCAGACAAATTGCACAGTTCATTTCCTTTATTTCGAAATTATAGAGACAAATTATTTATTCCTCTTTTTTTTTTTAAGAAATTGATTCATAGCAAAATTATTTAATTAATTCCACATTCCATCGAACGATAGTAATTGCTTGCAATACTCAATTACGCAACAAATTACTCAATTCCGACTAAATATTTCAACCAATTCGATTCAAACATTCGATTACAAGGTGAGCGTAATAATCAAATCGCGATTGCAGTATTGAGGTTTGTAGTCGACTACCGATTGCGTTATCAATCTGTATATGATTGGCATGTCATTAATCATAAAAAAATATAATTGTAGGCTGTTTTTCAAGAGAAGACTGTTTTGCGCGTGACAATGTTATTTATCTCATTATATATAGAATTTATCGCAACAATTATTTGAAATTCCAAATTTTCAAGTCACATTAGAGAAAGTTTACATCTCTCTAAATTTCTATGATTATATAAACTTAATATCTCTAAATTTATATGATTATATAAATCTTATTTACGATTTAGACGGTAATGCGAGCTGCAGAGTTAAAGTGCGTCTAGCTTTACCATTTATGCAAATATTGATCAGTGATATTTAATTTGACAATAAACGACAGTTGTCTTCGTGCGATTTATTCTTAAATCCTTCAATCATACTAAAGAAAACTAAGTATTAATCAAAAATTAATATTTATTATTTCAAAATTTAAATTAAAATACGAGGGTCAATTGAAAAGTTCCCGGCCTAACCAAGAAAAACACATGTTTTTGGGTGGAAAAAAATTTATTTCTCAACGTAGTCTCCTTTCACCTCAATACATTTGGTCCACTTTTTATCCCAACCACTCAAAAAAAAAATTGTTTGTCCAAATCCAAAAAATACTCGTTCACAACGTGTTCCACGGCAGCATTTGATCCAAATTTTTTCCACCAAGCCATTTTTTCAAATTTGGAAAGTCGAAGAAGTCGCTGGAAACCAGATCTGATGAGTAGGAGGGATGCGGGAGCGGATTTGAATCTTAATTCATGCTCCAGCCGCACGCGCTTTTGATCAATTGTCAACAAACGCGGCAACCAGCGCGTGGGTTTGGACAAATAACTTTTTTTTTATGGCTTGAGTGGTTAAAATAAAAGGTGGACCAAATGTATTCAGTTGAAAGGAGACTACGTTAAAAAATAAATTTTTCCCACCCAAAAACATGTGTTTTCTTGGCTAGGACGGAAACTTTTCAATTGACCCTCGTATAACAAGGTTGAATCAATATTTGCCAACGGCTGTTTAGCTTCTCATTTATTCCTTTGAATTTAATATTTTAAGTTGACGAAATGAAATAAAATAAAATCATATTTTTTCTTTAGAGAGTTGCATACAACATTTAAGTATAAATGTCGCTTCGTGCACGTGTTGCAATTATACAAACTGGAAGAATAAAATCTCAAATCTATTTAATAAGAAATTTTCGTTTTGTTATTAGTTTAAACACGATATCAAATTGTCTCTTAAAGAAACTTAGAGGTGTTAGACGTACATTTGCATAGTATTTATAACTTACACAATAAACTTTTCTATACCTCGTTTGAAGTTACTCGGCTTGAATATGAAACGCTTTATATATCGATGTTAGAAGGAAATTTCCTGGCAAAGCACAATTTTCCAGAAGTATATACTACAGACGCGTTTTACATAAAGTTAAAAAGGCAATACTCGTGTAATAGATTTACACGGTTTTTTGAATGTCGTAAATAAGAATTTAATCGTTAATCTTATCTATACTGTCATAACCTATTTTTCCAACCATCGCGTAATAGTAACACAAATAACAGCTAGAAATTTTTTTATATTCCAGTAATTGCTGTAATAAATCATTTAGGTAGGTATTCATAATCCGTTCTTATATTTAAGATCGTCTTAAGCACGAACTATGAATACCAGTCTTAATGAACAATTTTCTTAGTATATTTTTTGTTTCTCTTTTTTTTTGATAAAATGATAGAATAATCTACATCCTTAGGGTGCGTTCGGGGAGCGCGCTATCAGCGCTATTGTGTCATTCTATCCTTGTTTTATGTCTAATGAGCGATAGATAGAATGACGCAAATAGCGCTAATAGCGTTTCCCCGAACGCACCTTTAGTGTTTTCGAATAGATAGTGATTATTTATAAAATATAATATATTGTTAGTAACAGCAATTTTTAAATGTGGTCTAAGAATATTCTAAAAAAATACAATGCAATTTTTAAATTAAGGATATATCCAGTGTTGCTTATGATTTAAGCTGTTATAGCTCTAATTTATATCAATTACAAATTATATATTAAGGTAATAATAATTTTAACGTGACTTTTCAATGAAAATATATGATGAAAAATTAGAAATCTAACCTTTCTACACTTTTGAACTTTTCCACATTCTCTCTTTTTCAGTATTTCTCCAGATATCTTATCCGCTTATCATTATTTTGTAACAGAGAGTTGTCACACTTTCTCTGTTTACTGTTTTATATACTAATCGTAAACTTTAATTCCTGCATCCGCTTGAATAAGTTTTCGAATCGTGCAAAAACACCGGTAACTTAACGCGGCATCAGTAGTATCAGGCTGTGAATTTTTATTACGCCAAGTCATCAAATTCGAGACCCACACATTTCTTTTCGTTACAAAATATTTAGATTTTCAATTTTTAGGGAAGCAAGCAACCGTTAGCAAGCAATCATCCGGAAAAAATAGTGAATTGAAAACAAAGGTCGGAAGGTATCACTCATCTATCACATTGTTTAGTGATGAACGTAGCAGAGTAAACACTCAATTATTGAGAAGGAAGTGAAGAATTCATGAAATTATGATGAAAGTGAATGATTTGGTAATGACAGAATCAACCTGAATGGAAACGTACCAAAAAGTAAGACGACGGCAGTGAACGTAATACGATGCATCTTGACTTCCGGGGGGGCGGTCTCAGGGTAAACTTTTGGTATGTTCGCTGCAGCACAGTATGTTTATTTCACGCACCAATGACGTGCATATGGATGCACACTTTAGGTTACACACCGCGTGCACGCAACACGACACCCAACAACACGCGTTCTCGAAACCAGTCAGCTCACTTCTCGTCAGCGATTCTTTATTACGGGCAAGTTCGATGTATCTGGATGTGTCACAGTACAGCTGGTAACAACGGAACAGTGGCAAGAGAAAGAACAAAGATAGCAAAGATGGTGAGAGTAAGGAAGAGAATAAAGTGCAGTGAGAGAGAAAGGTAGAGTGAGTGAGAAGTGAGAACGAAGAAGATAAAGAGACAAATGTGCGTACAATCCACCCTTCACCGTAACTGCTTTGCCACTGACTGCGTTTGGCGCGTGCGTCAACCTTATTACGTTCGCCGTACGCGCCATCTAACATCTACGCGGCAAACAAAATTTTGTAAAAATTATGATGAACATTTCGACGTAGTCGCAATGGGCATTATTCATAAATTGATTAAACAGTTTAAGATAAATGAGTAAATATAGAAGCACAAACAGAAGGTAAGAATCTAATTCCATATTTTCAGTCAAACTATATAATCTTCAGTCAATTGATCTTGATCTTTTTCTTTGCTTTATTAGATGTGACATACACAGGAAATAAAAGAGAACAAAGATTCTACTGACCACTTGAGTATGTATTGACTCTATCTATACGCCGAATTTAAGTGTTATTTTTTATAGTTTTGATTTTATGATGATCTAACTTTGTTCGATAATTTTAATAAAAATTTTAATTTGACATTTCTTTATTATTAAAGCTATGTACTATAAACTTCACGAGTGTTGTCATAAGATCCTCGGTAGTATAGTGGTCAGTATCCCCGCCTGTCACGCGGGAGACCGGGGTTCGATTCCCCGCCGGGGAGGATTTATTTTTTTCTTTTTTATTTGTATTTTAATTAATAACTGTACTTTAGTACAAATATTAAAAAGAGATTATCATAATTGCGTTGCGAAATTTTAAATTGTAATTTTTTATAATTAAACTTTTTTAAATTTGATGAAACGCAAGGTTTAGATAGGATTTGTTTGTAGGATAACCTGTCAAATGGCACAAATTAAATAACATTTGTAAAACTGTAAATATATATTATTAGAAAAATATATATATAACATTTAGAAATTTAGTTCATGCTATTACTTTATTCCTTTATCTTAAAGGAAGTTGTATCATAAGCATCGGTGGTTCAGTGGTAGAATGCTCGCCTGCCACGCGGGCGGCCCGGGTTCGATTCCCGGCCGATGCAATCTTATTTTTTTCTAATTTTTATTAATTTTTTATTTTCTATTTGTGTAATGAACTTTAACTACAGTATTTTGACATTGTTAATAAAACTTAAGCTCGGTGTAAATTAAAAAAAAACTTTTATTCTTTGTCAAATACAAAATTAGTTCCACAGGAGCTGTTTTAAGTGCTGCTTTTGATGTCTTATTTTATCACGACAGCTAATCATTGATTACGCAACGATCATAAATCAAATTCCAATTGCTTATCGTTATTGATACCTTAGGCACGCGCGCGCGCGCGTAACAAAGGTCGCCATAGAATATAATTTTATTTGACTCTATTTTAGTTTTATATTGATAAAGTTTTATTGGCAATAACAATGTTATATTCATATCGCATGTCTTTTTTCACGAGTGTTATTATCGAAGCTACAGAATTTCACGAATGTGGACGTGACAGTATCGCGGAAGTGTCGTTCTCATTCCCGGGCAAGCACCAAGCTTATCTGCATTATTAATTGCAGCTCATTCTATTTACGAGTTTCATTTAGTTCGATGATCACTCATTTTTGATATGCCAATTGAATCATGCCTGTTTCGATACGAATGGACGTCATTTCTCTTCCGAGAAAAAGCGTTAATTTGTATTGTATATATTATCGTTATTTTATTAGTTTAAAGAATTAACGCATTTTTACACAACTTATCTTTGTGATTTCGGCGAAAAATAAAAGTTTTTTAGTCAGTGAGCTGAATTTGTAATGCGACGGATATAGAAAAATATTTGGAAATTACAAAAAATAATTCATAAAGCAGATGTAATTTAAACTTTAATATTAAAGTATGCAAATATAGAACACATCACTTCAGAGCTATATACATAATGCTAGAAAAATGTACAAGAAATATATAATTTAATCCATTTTATACTCGCAGATTTTTATTTGCAAAGGAATAAATATGATTACAACGAGGAATGCTTGAAAGGCGCGAGTGCGCAGCGAGCATTTGCCGCGATTCACGCTATAGAATTGGTCCCTATAACCAACCTGTTTACACCTAAATAACTAATAAAGCATCAAAAAGAAGAAGAAGATTGTCGGAAAATCAGCCTCGTGCCTCTGTTTTATTCATAAGTTTGTCAAGCAATTTTTTCTTGCAGTTTAGAAGTCCTAGTTTAGAAGTAAACAAATTTTTGCACTTGCCCGACTACTGACTGAGTAATTGGACGAAGAAAAAAATAAGAATGGCGGCGGTGACTAATAAATTTTTAACGAGTTTCTGAAGGCCGATTTCCACGCACTTCTTATTCTTAATCGAGAACATTACGGTGAATTATAATAATTAATAAAGTCATGTATGTATGTATATCCATTTTTTCCGCTTTAATCGTTAGACGACTCAGATATTAATATCAGAAATTATGATTGTAGATTGTAATTAGCGGAATACGAGTGCAAATTTAACAAGAAGCTAGGGCACACTCAGACTCGTTACTGACGTAACGGCGATAAATGTAATTTATACGTTGATTTAGCGAAATGGCAACGTTATGCTTGTTGATTCGCTCGGCGATTATTGCCGCATAGGCAAAGATGAAGAATCGACATGTTATCTCGTGGAATATACAGAGATTCACAGCTTGTAAGCGTTGCGTATCATCAAGTCAAAATACGCGTCGTGATCTATGCTCGCGCTAATAGCGCTGTAATAATTCATAAATTCCTCCTCCGTTACCTGCAGCAAAATAGTAAAAGGTTAATGAATTGCCTGAAGATACATAATAATATTATATGCATATCGCATAAAATAACAAAAAATTCGACAAGGTTATAAACAAGGTTACAAAGCAAAATTTTTATCATTAAATATTCATTTTATAATAATTTATAATATATTCGAATGTTATAATGTTCAGTTCTATAATTTCTATAATTCAGTTCTATAGTTCCATATAATTTCATATTTGTTAATTCAACAGAACGAAGTTACGAGACAATGAACATATATAACTTTGTTGGCAAGATGTTGCGTTTCCCAAGTGATTTAAATTTAAATGCAGATTTAAGACGTAAACGTGAGAAGTGCTATTAAATGCTTTACTTACGACGCCGTCGTTGTTGCCGTGTTCAAAATTCAAGAGAAATTTGTTCAAGATGCTTTCCTCGCTCTCCTCGCCGCTGATGTAACGCGGGTGGTATTTCACGTTATAAACACCACGGAGATCGTCGATAGTGATCCGTCCATCGCCAGTTTTGTCCAGCTTCTTGAACGCCAGATCTACGATATCTTTGCGGTTCTGATTCATCGGTGGCTGAGAACAGAAATTATTGCATTAAGAAGTTTAAATATTTATAACATTTGCTCATCTCGATCGTTCATATTTATGACATCTATATTTTTATTTCAGCAAAATATAAAATATCTTTTTGTGAGCACAACTACGCGATTCTTGCTGGAATAAATACATTAAATAACGCTTAAATATAAATTTAAGAAAAAAAATAAACTCACTCTTATGCCCACGAGAAACTCCTCGACGCTAATACTTCCATCTTCATCAGTATCGAATTTCTCAAAGATCGCATTAATTTCGTCTTCGGACAATTCCATTCCGATTTCCTCTAAACCCGTTTTGACCTCTTCGAGATTTAGCTTTTTGTTGCCATCTTCGTCCATACGACGGAAGGCCCTGTAAAAATATGTACATCACAAATAATGAGAATGAGATTCCAATATTTCAGGATATCGTTATGTGACAAAGGTCAGGGACAGTGACATTAGGTTGATTCATCATGGAAATCGAATAAAAACTGTATTGTCATTGCACGCACGCATCCGTGATAAATCTTATCTGGCAAATGCAACTAACGTGCGAATAATAGTTTCGTTTTATAACACATTGTTTTCAATTCCGTTCTATCTTCAATTTTATGTAACAATTAAAAATAGAGTCAACATCTATCTTGCAATCTTTTTAATGTATCGCTTACCAATTTATCTAAAATAATCGCAAGAAACAATTATCATAAAATTATATAAATTATTACAAATAATAATAATTAGTTGTAACATTAATGACAAAAATATTTATGTAAAATTTTATTTAGCGCAAAGGAGAAATAATTAAACTAATTAAAGTATTTTAAAATTGCCCTTGCGATTTTATTATGAATAATTATTAATTTTTGAAAAGAATTTTCGATCTCTTTGTATTCTGAAAAATTAATTCCATATTTAAGGAACAATTTGCGCAAGCAGCTCGTAATGATTCTGGATTGTGCATCAAGGAGCCCGGCAACATGACTAATTAACAACGATACTGAAAGTGCGAAACGGCGATGTTATCGGACGTTCGCTAACAGGAATATAGGATATATAAATAAAGGAATGCTTTGAAAACTTACCTACCCAGACCAAGAATGCCATTAGCACCCCTAGCCAGGCAGAGCAGACGCAATTTCTCGATGGAGTCCGTGGTGTTGTATATGGCCCGTTGGGCCTTATTGATCATCTCAAACTCCTGTCTCGTAGTGGCACTCTGTGGTCTCAGGCTGAACATCGCTGGAACGGGAAACGTCACGTGAGTATGAGTCAGGTGTAATACGGAGAGAAGGAGATAAAAGAGAGCGAGATAATTGCACCTGGTGTTTACGCTCCATATCTGGGCATATCGGAAGTGTATAATGCAATGCTCGCGCAGCATCTCGAGTGATGCTATGAGACAGAGAAGAAAAAGAGAAAAAGCTGAAGGCAGCAAAAAGATAATAAAAGAGCAATGGTAAATGGAAATATTATATTATGTAGAGAAAAAGAGATAGATTAATAAAAGTGATATCACAGTGGTAGCACATTCGCGTTAATTCTGTAGTTTACAATTAGATATTAAGAATGGCTGTTATCTCTACAAAACAGATCAGACAAATTAAAGAAATTAAATTAAGTTTTTTTAAATTTTACCTTTAAAGCGAGTGCATTTATTTTCTTCATGTTTGATATTCTTTTATAGATAAATGTATAACGGGATGATATGGACATGACAAATGTATACTTATCTATTTTTTGTGACGGACAACAGTGAAAAGTATTGCGCTATTCAGCTAATTCTATGCTTGGTTGTCGACATTTTTATAAATGAATTTTCCGTGCACGATAAAGTTTCTAATCTTCTCTCATGAAAATTACTTTGTCTACATTTTATTTACTCTTAGTGAAAATTTTAAATTATATTCTAATAAAATATCTCTTAAAATCGATTCGATTATTAGTGTTATCAACGCAGAACGGCCAAGAAACTGTTTTAAAAGCGTGCATAATATTCCACTGCAATTTTGCGTGTTACGAATAGTGATAACGTTTTTTACTATCGTGCGCACTCAGGTAGATAAAAGTAGGTTATTGATTAACTGCCTGTCTGTCGCTAACATTTTTACTTGATAATAACGCCAGTTTCTAATACTGAGTTGCCGTGTCATTAATTGACATATGAAATTAGGCGCTTGTTAATAGTCTAATTATTTTACAGAATCCTTAGTTTTCATCATTAGTTCATTAGTTTGCCATCCGGCCGATCGTAAATGTGTGATCATGTCTGTTCTGAAAGTTCTGTTCAAGCAAAAATGTCACTCAACATTTACTTGGACACTCCCTAATTTTTTATAACTATAGAACGCCAAGGATGAGTATCTATAATTATAGTATATATGCTAATTCACTGCAATTTATTAAATTAAAAATGTATTAATTGTAATATAGTATTAATTTTGACAGTCTAACATTTCACCAAATATATTTTAATGAAATGTTAGAATATCACGAAGACAAAATCAATCTGGAAATAATACTAGAACAAAGTTTATAAAAAAGTTCCTTCCATTTAGATATTGTAATGCATTTTAAGCAATAGCCAGTTTTATATCATGAGAGAGTTTAGTATTTCCATTTGAGACTTATAATCGGTATGCTCGCTTTGTTTAGATACTAAGGTTGCAAGAGCCATAAATAATACCGCTGACATTGGCCAGGTTTTTCTACATCGTTTACGTACGTAGCGTGAAGTACAAGGACCTCGCCGTAGCGATATCGACTTTGCGTTTCAGCTACGAACCGCGGAAAGCTTGTTGTTTTGTTGGTACGGAATGCCGTTGGCACAATATTAAATATTTGTGAACGAACGGCGCTACGAATATAAAAATAGCCATCACCCGCTGTGAATAAATGAAGTAAAACGGATAAAATATAGGTATTTTGAGAGCGTCTTTTTTAATAAATGTGTAGTCATGCAATAAAGGTTGACGATGCAGCGAAATGAAAAATGTTCCCACTTATTCCAAAGTGGATCTTTATAAATAAAATATGATATAGTCTTCTTAAGCGAGAAAAAGTATATCATCTTTTCCATAAGATATTTTAACATAAAAGAATAACTTGAATGTAGAATACATATTTCTTAAACAAAAAATTTATAATATTAAATTATTTCAACAACATACGCACATAATATAAAAACTTAAGAGAGATAGGATCTTTATGTTATTCTTATTTCCTCTAAAAATGCTAAATAAAATTTTATTATTTCAGTATTCACGAAGAGAATAATTTATTTAGACAACTTGTATAATTTGCAATGGGAAGATTATCAAAATTGTCCAATATACTTCTGCATTTCAACACGGAAATGTGCGCGGTACCACTCACCTCAGTTCGCGGTTTCCGGCAACTGCGATGGTGAACGCAGCTGAAGATTGCGTGTGTGCACCAGAACAAGAAGCGGAAGACGCAAAGTGGTTCACAGAAGAGAACCCTTCAATGAAAGGAAGAAAGGTCCAGAGAAGTCCGTCGTCTTTCCCTTCGGCGGCAACAGCGGCGCGATGTTTTTTCTAGGCGGACCGGAAGGCGAGTGGCGGTCCTTCGGCATGGCGAATAGTCGACGTCGACGACACACATTATGTACACATCCTGGACGACGTGTGGGAAATGCCTATACACTGGTCCCCGGGGCGCCGCGACGTATCCATAACGACCAGCATGTCACAACACGCGCATCGTATCGCTTTGCTAGCTTCGGCCGATTGCACGCGTGACCGATTCACACATCGATCGCTGATACCGATTGTTCTTCTTCGACAGGCGCAATTGAAGAATTGGAGAACGTTCTAGTCGCGCTCGAGAGAGCAATCAGCGAGGTCATCGCTGCGATTTGACGGTCGATCATTTCGGTCTAAAGCAATTTAGATGTGTTGATCGTTAAACAGTCGCGGTGCGTTTTGTCTATTTGAAACATCCCTTTCGTGTCTCTTTCATTTCTGTTTATCTGTAAGAGAAAATTAAATATAAATGCATTGAAATAATTGATAAATTATAGCTTTGAAACCATATATCAAATAAAAATGTTTCATTAAAATGCAATTTTTAAACTTTTCTATTTTATAATTAATTCATAAATTTATAGTCCATTCATGAATTCTTTTTTGCATTTAAAAATTTATTTCTAATTTATATTTCTTAAATTATATAGTCACATAGTTTCATTTATAGTTGCATTAATATTTTTGTACCGTTCTCGCTCCATTAATCACAGAGATGTCGTCTGCAAATCTTTAGAACGCTTGAGGGAGTGTCGTTTGACGCTCGATTGCACATTGCGTCGCAAATCACGTAATCAACATCCTTAAACAACAAACTACAACAAATCAGGGGTCTTGAATGAATACTGCTCGCATATCCGGTCATTGTTCTCACAGATTCGTCTATTCGTGCGCAGAATCTTTTTTCTTCTCTCAGACGACATCAAGACGCATCAACTTTCCAATGTCTAACTGGACAGAAATTCATTCATAAATCAATCCATACGAGAAACCCAACATATTTATAAACAAGTAGTTAGTTTTTCAATTGTATAATTAAATATTTTAATTATAATAAAATAATGCATAATTATATTAGAAAAGTAGAAAAAAAGTAGAAAAAACATTTTCTCAATAAGATACGAGATTATATGAATAATAGAATCTGCAAATAAATTCTTGGCTTTGTGTCTTTGAGTACGATTATGATTAATATACATTATCTTTAGGCTATGCTACTTGGCTGCTTATTTTAGCAATACGTGATAACATTACCTTGACCTCTGTATTAGATTGACATCGATAGCCTTAAACGGCATCGCAACGGAAAGTCCAAGAACTAGATAAATTATCGTACATATTTGATCAGCTCTACTTAGAGTTGGATGCACAGTAGAGGTTAACATAGTTGCTAGCTGCTATGATGCAGTTGACATTACGTAGGCGTTCTTGAACCCTCGAACTTATTTACTTTCATACTATCACACCAGAATAATAGGGAAACGTAATAATGAAATAACACGTACTCAAATACAATCAGATATTGACTTACTTTGAACTAATGCATACACTTATTCATGATAACAAAAATAAAACTTTTAGTTCTCTTAAAAACGATGTTATCAATTTAAGCATTAATGATTATAAGTACCAAAAAAAAAATATGAGAGATAATAGTAATTTTCTTGTGAGAATACGCACATACAATATTGTTAGTTCGTAACAAAAATAACGAATCTTTAACTATTTTGCTGATCTGTTTGGCGGGATATTGTCCAACTAAAATTCATATCAATGAGCGAAGAGAAGGCAACTATTTTAACGACAATCGACAAAAATAATTTCCTTATTTATCAATTGTCGATAATAAGGCAGGCCTAATTTATCGAGTAAAGTTTATCGATGATTTTAATCTTATGGAAAACTTGTTGATCATTTTATTGCTTATAAATTACGATTGTCAATAGTCAATAAATATATTGCTCGAAGTAATTTGCTTCGTATGTGTCGCCTGAATATGATAAACGTGAGAACTGCTGACAATAGATCGCTTACAATAGCAAGGAGTTGAACCGGAACTGATGTATTATGCATGGGATTTTATTTGTAGATCCATCCTTCTATCTCTGTTCGTTGTTGAACAATTATTGATAATTCGATACCTGAATCACGACTACAAACAATTTTGCGTACGTCACTCAGATTTTGATCGACGTGCCTGGCGTGGTGAATCTTCTAGAACAGGATATCAAGCATGTGTGAGGCTGGACCAATGGTGTGACGACATTTGGACGATGCTATCATCCGGCGCCCGCGCTGTTGTTCACCGCGTGCTGCGTGGTTCAACGCGATTGGCTGGTCACCCTTGCCGGTGCCGCGTATATCGTGTCGACGTCGCGGCTATCCGTGACAGTCGGTGAAAAAACGGCGGAACGATACGGTGTTGGCGAACGGTTTGCTAGTGTTCATTGGTAATTCTTTTTCTCGTCAAATCGTTCACGGTTCTTCACACCGCGGCGACGATGAGGAAACTTGTTATATTAATCGCAGGATTATTTCTGTTTGCGGGTAAGCAGCTTTATACTTGTAACGAAAATATCAGTTCTCACATATTTGTTCAAATCTCACCACGATTGTACACGCGTTTATTTGTCCTTCAGGATTCGTCCGCGCAGAGGATGAGATCGAAGAGGATGATTTTACCGTCGAGGACGATCTCGGTGTAAGCCGCGAGGCATCACGAACAGGTTATTATCATACATTTTAATTTATGAATGATGAAATTCATTTGTACATTATTATAGCATTTCTGTGTGAAAAGTATTGTAACAGGTGGGAGGAGTAACAGTCCGGAAGTTTAACAATAGCTAGATTATTCAAATATCACAACGGATTTTTTAAGAGTTCAAATTTATTTAAAAACAAGTTGATTTTAAAATCAGATTTATTTTATTTGCAATATAGTTTGTCTGACTCTTAATCTTAATATATTATGTAATTTATATAGAATAATATCTATTACTTTTACTATTGATGTCTATAAAATTTGAATCAGACATAAAATTAAATATTAGAAAAATTTATCTAAACAGATAAAGATACAATGGGTTATATCTTTGATTTATATGATAATTACTTCACAAATGTTTCTGTTATCAATGATAGATGCTTTTATTGTGTTATAAAAATATGAATAAACAATATATTTTAATTAATTTATGGATTAAATTTTATTGCAGATCATGAAGCAGTACAAAGAGAAGAAGAAGCAATAAAGATTGATGGTTTAAGTACCTCTCAGATAAAGGAATTAAGGGAGAAGTCTGAAAAATTTGCATTTCAAACTGAAGTCAATCGTATGATGAAACTCATCATTAACTCTCTTTACCGTAATAAAGAGATTTATCTTAGGGAATTGATCTCGAACGCGTCTGATGCATTGGATAAAATCAGACTCCTGTCTCTCACCGAGAAGAGCGTTCTCGACACAAATAGCGAACTGGCTATTAGAATAAAAGCTGATAAAGATAACAAAGTGTTGCATATAATAGATTCTGGCATTGGAATGACAAAGCAAGATTTGGTGAATAATCTTGGAACTATCGCTAAGTCTGGCACCGCTGAATTCCTGGGTAAAATGCAGGACGTTTCAAGCACTCAAGATATGAATGACATGATCGGTCAGTTCGGTGTGGGCTTTTATTCTGCATATCTGGTCGCGAATGTCGTCGTTGTCACCACCAAGCACAATGATGATAAGCAGTACATTTGGGAGTCTGATAGTTCCAACTATAGCATTGTTCAAGATCCACGGGGAGATACTTTGAAAAGAGGAACAACTGTGAGGTAAGTTACAAGTGATTTATTCAGAAGACCAATATGTGTTCAAATTGAAAAATTTTATTTTATAATAGTAACAAAATCTTATATATATATATATATATATATATATATATATATATATATATATATATATATATATATACT